ATCAAGGAAACATTGAAACTACAGTGAACCTGTTGCAAACATGAAATCTGGAGATCAAAGTATCTTGCAAATAAATGAAAAAAAAAACATATTCAAATTGAACCAAAGTACTCCCTTACTATAAAACAACTATATTTATATAGCACTATTTAAAAAAAACATTTCAAAGCACTTAACTGTGAAAGAATGCGATGAATGGAAGCCCTTAATAGTTGAGAAGTATCCAAAGAACGTGTCAAAAATATATTGCATCATGTAGTGCTTTTCATGACTGCAGAAAATCTTAAGAGCTTTACAGCCAATGAAGTACTTTTGAAGTGAAGTTACTACTGAACTGTAAGAAACACAGCAGCCAATACACAGAGAGCAAACTCTTGTTGATCATCTCATCAAAAAGACAGCATCTGAGGTGTGCTGCACCACTGGAGTACTGTTTTGGAATGTCAATCTTGGCATTTGTGTTCAAGCACTAGAATGGGGCTTGAAAACGGTCAGTTGTGATTGAAGAGATGAGACTAGTACCACTGGGAAAAGTATCAGACTTTATAGTTGTTGAGTTAATTAAAAATGGTTTTCAAAAGGGAATAGGAATATAGTTAAAGGTCTTACACCAAATGTAAAGCAGCAAAGTAAGTACAGAAGTCCAGTTAGAAAATTGAAACATACAAGAATCTGAGGGGGCTTAACAAAGTCAATGCCAAGGAATTATTTCTCCCGGATTGTGCAAAATTCTAGGACCAGAGACATCATCTCAGAGTAGGAGGTCACCCAGTTAAGACAGAGGTAGGGAGGAATTTCTTCTCTCAGAGGGTAGCAAATCAGTGGAATGCTTAGCTGCAGAAAGCAGTCAAGACTGGTTTTTTAAGTATATTCAGGGCTGAGATAGGCAGATTTTTAAATCGGAAATGGAAACAAGTATTACAAGGCAAGATCAGCCACAATCTCACTGAAGGGCTGAATCTTGTGTTTCAAATCAGGAGCATAGAAACCAGAGAAAGTCACGTGTATAGATAAGGGAAGTTTTAGAAGGATTTTCAGATAAAGACAAGAATTTTAAGTTCAATACATCTCTTGCTCTTCACTATACAAGTTGTAATGTGGAATGTGGTTATTTAGCCCAAATAATCTGTACAAGCAAACAAATAGTTCTTGTCACATTTTCCTGACTCATTCCATGTCTAGTTAACACATTTTCTTTCATCCATCTAGCCAATCAAATCTTGAATGCTTTTCTTTCTTCCTCATCAGCAACTCGAGTTTCAGCTTCCCCTAATCCAACTAAAATTTCTTGTGCTATTTATTCACTGCACGTAAAACTTCATTTTAAACTTCTTACCAACGTGACCAACTTCTCAGCAAAGCCGGGAGATTGTCACAGTTGTCAGTGCTGAGCAATTGGGGGGGTACATGTTGATGTAACATTATGCCACGTCACAATGACATACCTACAGCATGTTCCAGATGACACAGCAAACACACTGCATATGCTTCAAACAAATGACCACGACTTAACGTCTAAGAGAAGCAGTTCTTAGTCTCTAGAGAGACTGGAGTCTGTCAGGAGGTGCTATTACAGTAAAGGGCATTGTCCAATTTCAGTCCAGGGGCTTGGCCAACATTAGTTGGGCTCTTGGTGTGATCAGTCTTTGGGTAAAGATATCCTTTCAGTCCAGGGACTGGTCCACAGTTAGTCCTGCAAGTCAAGACCAACCAGTCTGGGGATTATTAAAAAAGTCAATGCGAGAGCTCACAGAAATCAGTTAGGGGCTCACTCCGGAGATAGTAGGAACTGCAGATGCTGGAGAATCCGAGACAACAAGGTGCAGGGCTGGATGAACACAGCAGGCCAAGCAGCATCATAGGAGCAGAGAGGCTGACATTTCAGGCCTAGACCCTTCATCAGAAAA